GAAGAATAGAGATTAATAAATATGGATCTTTGTTGTCATAGTTGTAATGATAATTAATTTTAATAATTAAATATAATAATTACAATCTTCAATATTTCGAAATATCAAATTCATATCGAATTCTCAGACAGAAGCGAAAAAGGATGCATGAATTCTAGAAGGTTTTATATGAACGTGCTACACAGTATCATTATAATATAATGTTTAAAAAATGCACAACGGAAGAAATAATGGGAAGTGGCCCTTTGTACTGGTGATTGTCTTATACAGGTGGCCGTTTTACACCGGTGGCCGTTTGTACAGGTGATTGTCTTACAGAGATGGTCGTTTGTACGGGTGATTGTCTTACATAGGAAGCTGTTTGTAAAGGTGATTGTCTTACGCAGATGGGCGTTTGTACAGGTGATTGTCTTATACAGGTGGCCGTTTGTACAGGTGATTGTCTTATACAGGTGGCCGTTTGTACAGGCGATTGTCTTATACAGGTGTCCCTTACAGAAGGTTCGACTGCACGTCTTACAAGGTCAAGAAACAGACGGGCAATAAATGCCGTGATGTGCAAGGACACGGAAGAGAAAGGGGGGGGGGGTATATTATTAATTATATACGTTACTTTTCCCAACAAAGTAACCCAGGACGGACAAAAACCTTGCAGGCCATCAACTTTCTGGAGTGGGTGTTTGGAGGGTGCCACTGGTATGTCCTACTTCTTTTACTTTCCCCCTATTGTGTTTGTTTCTGTCTGACTTACTTTTCCCTTGCGCTAAATGACCACTATTGTGTCGATGTGCTTCTCTTTTCTCAGACAGACAAACAAACAGGCAAACAAACAAACAAACTTACTGGTAGGGGGTCGTGTGGTCGGCTGTTCTGTGGTTGCTGGGCCGTTGGTGGTGGGTGGGTTGGTGGGAGGGCTTGTGGGAGGGTTTGTGGGAGGGTTGGTTGGAGGGTTGGTTGGAGGGTTGGTTGGAGGGTTGGTAGGAGGGTTGGTTGGAGGGTTGGTTGGAGGGTTGGTTGGAGGGTTGGTGGGAGGGTTGGTGGGAGGGTTGGTGGGAGGTTTGGTGGGAGGGTTTGTGGGAGGGTTTGTGGGAGGGTTGGTTGGAGGGTTGGTGGGAGAGTTGGTGGTAGAGGGTGGGGGCATGGTGCCACCTTGGTTGGGTTCAAAGTTGTCTTTCCCTCTGTGACATGTCCTTGTGTAGTGTCCCCCAATATAGGTAGGTTTGCTGTAGCTCCAGTAACGAATCAGGAATCTGGAAAGGAAGGGCGGGGGGGGGGGGACAGATAAAATAAGAATAAAATGATTATTGTTGTAATTTTTATTATTATTTCTATGAGTGTTACTATTATTTATTCATACTCCAATATAGCACAATCATTGACGATATATGCACATCACATTATGAATATATGAGAGCTACGATGATTATCACAGTGTTGGTGTTGTGTACTTTTAACACATATTTCTACACGGTATACTTAGTTTACAAGACGAGGCCTGAACCCCTAATGTAACAACCATCTCCTATAGAACCAAACCAAGTAGATGGGGGTAGGGGTGGGTGGAGGTGGGGGAGCCACTAACCCAAATTCAAGAACGCACCACTGGAGGATTGAACCAGGCCATCTGCCTCGGTGGGTGATTGGCAGGTGCTCTGGTGTGGTTTGCTGCTTCTTTCCTATCAAACATCTATCGTCTTTATCTCCCCTTCCTCTGTGTTATGTTTGTTACTCTCTTGTAACTCCTCTAATCTTCTGGCGCTCATATGACCTTATGCAGTTGCGAACGCCGTAAAACCTCTACTAAAACAAAAACATCTGCCTCATAGTCCAGCACGACAGAGACTGGTTTTCACTCACAGTTTTAGAACAGTCGACCACACTGTATGGAACATTACAGCAACTGCAGCAAACCTGCACTTATCACTATATGGCATTGAACAGAAGGGAGGAAGCCCAGCTGTTGACTGATCGATATCAACAACAACAGCAACAATCACAACAACCAAACAGTAGACAGAAGAACCTTGAAGGAAGGGGGAAAGGAAGAAACGAGGAGAAACAAAATTGAGAGGGAATTGAGAAGAAAGATCAAGAATGACAAAACAGTCGACAGAAGAACGTTGAATGAAGGGAGAAGGAAAGGAACGAGAAGAAACAAAAGTTAGAGGGAATTGAGAAGAGAGATCAAGGCAGACGCCATCCTTACTCATGACAATGCGGATTCTTCTTCTGTCTCTTGCTCCAGTCTTTGTTCCTCAAGGCGAACCTGACCTCTGTGGGGGTCCGAATTGTGTTCACGATGTCCACAGTCCAGATCTGAGGAGAGAACAGAGGGTGAGTGGTCACTCAGTGAACGAAGGGGGGCGAGATAAATGGACAGTCGATCCTCCAGCCACTTGTACAAGACATGACAATCACCTGTTCAAATGACCACTTAATTCCCACTTACCTCCTTGCTTTTTCATACATTTTATTAATGTAATGTCAGAAATAATCACTTGTTCAAACGCGCACTTAATTCCCATTTGCCTCCTTGCTTTTTCAAACATTTTATTAATGTAACGAACGTCAGAAATAATCACCTGTACAAACGATGACTTACGTTTTATTATTGGAATGTCCAAGATAATCACCTCTACAAACATCATTTAATTCTCAAATTCCCACTTATCCCTTTTGCTTATTTTTTTTAGATATAAAATGGCATTGTATCGACATTGTCCAAGACGTCTGTCTGTCTATTGCCGAGAAACAAAAGATTGTGTAAAATAGGAGGACGTCTGGGATAGTGCCATTATCATGTGTGTGTGTGTGTGTGTGTGTGTGTGTGTGTGTGTGTGTGTT